TTCCAACAAAATTTTCTAAGATGATAATGTACCACTAATAGCACAATTTTAAACTTGATTTCCCTTTACCTTACTGCAGATACTTTTATTGACTTAAGAAATATCTTATGTGGTCTAATATTATTTTCCCTGTATTGCCTTAGTGAGCACCCAAATATGAAACTATGAAACTCTCAAATCTATTCTCCTTGCTTATTGAAATAATACATTATATTATTGTACAAAATGATGGAACATTTTCAAAATGGAAGGAAGCAGAAGTTAGGAATGTTTAATGCATATTAATAGAGATCATTCCTTATTACCATTGTTTAGTTTGGAAATTTTTAAAAATATTTACTTTTTAGTTATAGGTGGACACAATATATTTTTTATTTTATGTGTTGCTGAGGATCAAACCCAGTGCCTCACCCATGCTAGGCAAGCCTTCTTCCTCTGAGCCACAACCCTAGCCTTTGTTTGGGAATTTTTAATACTGTAAAATTGTGAATACTAGGAGCTATTCTTCTAATTTTGAATTTCATATTTTTTCCTGGGTTATAGGCAGTATGATACAGAGGTAAGCAACCAGTTCTCTACAATGTACTGTGTTGCAAAGCTAAGATGTTGAGCATGTTAGATTTATTGAAAGCAGTTGCAAATTGTGATATTTTCAATTTATGTTGAGAAGTACTGGTATTTATTGGACCCTTAAGAGTTTGAAGTATGATGTGCATATGTGTTTATTTTAACAGCGAAATTTCATTTCTTTTCACAAAACAATAAAGCATTTTCAGAAACAATAAGACAAATCAAAATCTAGTCTTATTCTTGTTGTCATTTCATGATTTCATCAGGCTAGGAGTAAATAACAAAGGTAAGCTGCTTGCATACTACAATTAATTTGAAGCTTAGCAAAAGAATAAAATTTAAATGAACATGTAAGTGAAATGAGATTATATTTTAAAAGAAATTGGAGCATGATATTTCAAATGTTGAAAACAACAAATGTAAAGTGAACAATTTCAAAAAATGCTGAAGTTTTCAAAGTAATGTCCATTCTCATGACCTATAATATTCTAATTCATTTTATCAAAATAGCTACATTATAAGATAAAATAATATTAATCACATTTTTATTATGTTTTTGAAAGTGCTTAATTTTCTTAAATATTTCAATGCCATGCTACATTTTCAAATTAAGCTGAGTGATCGGAATGATATATAATTATTACTAAGTATTATCAGATTGTTATATAATTATTACTAAAAGTATAAAGAGAATCTTCATACCTATTGTTGTAATTTTAATATGAAGCATCTCCCAAAAGCTCACATGTGAGACAGTAAAGGAATGTTCAGAGGTGACAGGTTTAGATTATGAGACATATAACCTAATTAGTGGATCAATACACTTGATTGTTTAATAATTTGGAAAAACTACCAGACTGGTGACAATAGGCAGACAGGGTGTGGCTAGAGAAAGTAAGTTAGAGGGTCATGCTTTGGGGTTTATATTTTGTCCATGGCAGTCAGAGCTCACTCTCTGCTTTCTGATTGTCATGTTCTGAGCTGTTTTCCTCCACCTCACACTTCTACCAGGGTGTGTTTCCTCACCTTGGTCCCAGAGCCAAACAGTTGGACAACTATGGACTGAAACTCCAAAACTGTGAGCCAACATATACTTATCCTTCTCCCTGTTGTTCTTGTTGTTGCAGGTAATTGGTCACCATGACAGAAAGTTGAGAAAACCAAATATAACTTGGCTTCAAGGTGACAAATCTCAAAATGTTTATCCATTTTCTATTAGTTTAGAGGTTCAGAGACTTCAAGATTTTTTTTTTTTTTTTTTTTTTTTTTTTTAGTGTGTGTATATACTGGGAATTAAACACAGACCTCTTTTTATTTTTTTATTTTGAGGCAGGGTCTCCCTAAGTTGCTGAGGTTGGCCTTGAACTTGCAATTCTCCTGAGCTGCTTCAGACTGTTTTCATTTAAAAGTGTATCATAATTACATTGTAGTTATTTAAATCCTTCTTTTAATTTTTTTTTCTTTTAAGATTCCTAGTTGTCTGCCCATGCTTTAATCTGATTCTATGGATTTTAAATGATGTATTTTTGACACTGAAAAAAAATTGTTTAATATACAATAACATTTCACATGAAAGTTCTGGATTTTGTATATCATGAAAGATTTTCACCCATTCACATCTATTTCTGCTAAAAATATGCTAGTGTCTTTGCCCCAGGACCATTTCCCTTTACAATGTGTGTTTTTAACAAATACTTTCTTTTTTAAATTTTTCTTTTATAGTTCTGGGAATACAATCAAAGGTCTTGTTAATGCCAGGCAGGTTCTCTACCATTGAGCTATATACCCTTATCCCACAAAAATACTTTTTCTAAAAATATTCTGTGGCAATTATAGCTCCTCTTATATCCTAATTATTTTAAAATAACTTCCAGGTGTTGCCTTAATCTTTTTGATAATTGATCATTTTAATATTGTCTCAGGTTTATTTCTATATATGTATGCACTGATATTTTATTTGTCTGAACTAAAATTAGGATTCTAATTTTATTCATTAGCTTAAAATAGTTTCCTCTATAACAAAGAAATTTGATATATGATCATTAAAATAAATATTAATATTTTATGCAACTGCCAATTGTCAAAAAACAAAGATTAAGAAAGTCTGACCCTGTGCTTAGTTATTCAGTATCATTTTAAGAAGGATTCCCCAATAATAAAAACAGGGATTATTTGGAGTCAGCAAAACCACTTTATAATAACCACCTATAATTCTTATCACTTTTCTTTCTCTCTACTTTTGCCTCTTCCAGAAATAAGAAATGAAAATAATTTAAAAATTAAATTTTCAATAAATAACTGCTAAGCAGAAAATATGACACACTTGTGTATCTTTTTAAGGTATTTGATTTTTTGAATTTACACTGAACTGGAAAAATATTTATCAGTGAACCACATGGTAGTATAGCTAATTGAAACATTTTCCTTTAAAGTAATATAACCTATGGAAAAAACTGTATACTAATTGGAATATATCTAAGTTGACCTGAATTCTAAAATGACTTTTGTGTTTTTTATAGCCACAGCATTTTATTTCATAATTAAAATTGCAGGTTGTTCTTCTTAACACTTTCTTTTAAAACATCCTTTTCATATCATAAATACACATTTATATTTGATACATAGTTATTAGTCTTACATTGACAATTTGATAAACAGGAATAATTAAAAGTTAACTCTGTTTTCTGTCAATTTCACTGTATAATTTCTTTATATTACAGAAATTTAAAGTAGAATCATAATTTTTTTTTTGATTGTGTTTGGTACTAGGGATTTCTTTTTTTTTAAAGAGAGAGGAGTGAGAGAGGAGAGAGAGAATTTTTTTAATATTTATTTCTTAGTTCTCGGCGGACACAATATCTTTGTTGGTATGTAGTGCTGAGGATCGAACCCTGGCCGCACGCATGCCAGACAAGCACGCTACCGCCTGAGCCACATTCCCAGCCCGGTACTAGGGATTTTGAAACCAAGAGTTTTATTTATTTTTTTAACCACTGAGATACATTTTTAGAGCTTATTTTTTCTTTTTTCTTTTCTTTTTTTTTTTTTTTTTTTTTGAAACAGAGTCTCACTCACTAAATTGTTGAGGCTGGCCTCCAATTTATAATCTTCATTCCTCAGCCTCCCAAGTTGTTCGGACTATAGGCATGAATCACTGTGTTGCACAGAATCACAATTTCTTAACAGTGCTGCTTTTCAATCTAAAGACACATTTTTCTCATTACGTTCCTCCTCAACTGAAACTATGTTACAGTCCTGTAATATCCCTTTTTCTCCATAATACCTGCTCAATTAATTTCAAATCTTTGAAACCAAATCAGATTATTCTGTAAATATCCTTCCCTTATATAACATACAATTAATAAAAAGTATAAATATATATATATAGGATTAATTGATGAACAAATTGCCAGTTATCACAGCATCTACTCTGATATTATTTTCACAATCAATCACACACAGCTAAAACCAAGCAAACAATATCTGCTCTAAATTTCTGCAGAAAATGACTAAATTTATTTCTAAATTATTGATTTTAGAATAACAGCATTAATTTTAGAACAGAGTTAATTTTCATAGAAATATATATTTTTTTCAGTGTCAAAAATACATCATTAAAAATCCATAGAATCAGATAAAAGCATGGGCATTTATAAAACATTTTATAAATGTTTACATGATTATTTTAAAATTAACAAAAATAAATCAGATATGCAAAGAGTTCTTGGAGGCAGTGTGTAGAGCTGGGCTGCAATGAACTTTCTGCCAGAATTTTAACTTGGGATTCAAGAACAAAACCCATCAGGAGCAAAGGTCTTGGAAGTCAAAGTTGTTGTACTTCTAGAGCCAAATAAATTCTCTTCCCAGGCAAAAGTCTCAGTTTTAACATGACTGATAGTAAACTACACAGTCCTTTCCCAAAGTAGTTGCTACTTTGACTTTCTTGTTTTTGTTCATTCATATTCCTGTTTATTCAATGTCAATAATTATTTTTGATGCCTTCCTTTCTTCCTCATAGCCAGTGGGTTGCCAAATCCACATAGTCTTCACTTTACCTATCTTTCATTTGTACCCTTTCACATTTTTCAGCCCTGACATCCTGGATTATGCACTGGTGACTTCCTGGAGTATTAGCAAAGTCTTCTAGTGGGTTTGTCTAGTCTCCTCTGTCTTGTTCCACAGCCTGTCCTGAATATCAGCCTCAGTCTTATATTACTGCAACACTGCTTTGACTGAAGCATTTCCCAGGTTCTTCTACAGCACCTTCACTGACTTTTTAATAATATAAGACCATTCAGCCATGAACCAGGTTGTTTGCCTTTGGGCTAATTCTGTATTCAGCTATATCAAATCTGGTGGATTTTCGCTGCTCCAAGTGCAGTGGTTGGCTTTCTGCCTGCTCATATTTATTCTTATCATTTCTCTTCATGGAATGACATCTATCCCTAGCACTATCAATTCAGAACTCCTACACTCACCCCAGATGTCAACTCTTTTTGAATTCTTCCTGATATTCACAACTTGTATAGCATTATTGTTTGTCATTCTTTTTTTTTTTTTTTATATTTAGATCTTGCATCGTGTTTTCAGAGGAATTACACATTTTCTTCACCTTACCAAATTAAGATGCAGGAATTATTTTATGTTTGTGTGTGTGTGTGTGTGTGTATTATACATGTTTATATATTTGCGTATATATACAATATATATGTATGTATATGTGTACATAGATATTATATTATATATACAATAAATTTATTTCAGTGTTTACTCCAAGACAGTGATTTTTTAAAAAATATTTCTGGGTTAGGTGACAAAGACAATTTTAGAGAAATTATGAAGTCCAAGAAATTGTGTCAGAGAAAATGAGAAATTACTTACAAAATTTGCAGAATCTTTCACACCTCTAAATTAACATAATGTAACAATAAATAAAATACTGTTACTGCCAAACAATAGAAACAAATGATTGAAGAAAAAACTACATATAGCATCTAAGTGAAATTAATTAAAGTATCAATTTTTGGTTTTAAAACTTAGCATCATTAGGTCTGGGGGTATACTTAGTAGCAGAATACTTGTTTAGCATTCATGAGGCCTTGGGTTCCAACTCCAGCACTGAAAAAAAATGGTATTATTAATTACTTATTTGAGAACACAGCATAATAAATTCTGTATAATACAGGTAGATTCTGGCATAATGTTTACTTTCAAAATTGTAATAAATTCATTGTGTTCTACTGTGACTATATTTCAGATCATATGCAAAAAATAAAACTAGAAAATTAATCTGAGTGTAAGAAACATGAATATAAATTTTTCTTCAGATCCTTTCTCTGTAAACAATATAGATGCTTGTTGGTTTAATTACTCAATAAATTTTTAGTAGTCAAAGCTCCCAGAGATAACTATTATGAATGTGGGGCTTCTCCTACTAAGCATCTACTGTTATTTAAAGTGAGAATGGTCATATAATGATTTGTTACAGATAAGTTTAGTTTGTTTATAAACACAAACACACTGCCATATAAATGTAAATTTTCAGAACACTTACATAAAATTCTACTCTATACTAGTATGAAAATATTTTTTTAAATGTTTAAAATTCACACTTGTTTACTCCTTGTTATAATGTTTTATATACTGGATATTAGTCAAAATAAGAAAAATACATCTTTGGTAAATATTAAAAGATGTATAAAACATGTCTGTATAAAACAAATGTGCACTTTATGTATGCATATTATAAAATATTAAATAATTATGTGTACATATGATATAAATTTTTTCTTTGAGTCTGGTGTATGTTAGGGTTTTAAAAGAAAGTCAGAGTCCTGATTAAGAAAAAAACTCAATCTTCAGACATTTTTTGTGAGATAAAATTAGATCTCCTTTTCTCCATATAAAAAGCCTATTACTCTTACTGGCAGTAAAATAACTTTGAACACATAATATGCTCACAGAATATTCATGGTGAAATTTCTTCAATCCCACAACAGGATTGAGAAAAATCATTGGTTCTGAATATTTGTATTTAAAAAAATGCATCAAATAGAATGGATTTTAAAGAAATGCACTAATCTACAAATAAAAATAAATTCAGACACATAACTGGTAATGTTCATGAACACTGTACTGTACCTTACAACAAAATATGTTGAGATTCAGGGGATACTGCCAGA